AACCATTTCTGCAAATTATCAAAAGGTTTTAACGGATGTTTAGCGGTTTATGAATGGAATGACTAATTCCGCAAGAAACGTTTGAAATAAGGGTATAAATACCAATTTTAAAACGATAGGGACCATTTTAGCAAATAGTGTAAATGTTGGGGACCATTTCTGCTAAGTACCCTTATTTTAAACTACGGGAAATTTTCATTGGAGTTCATTCAACTTATTGGTTTGTTTCATGTTAGTCACCCAAATTTGATTTGTTTCAATTCGATCACCATGCTAGCATTTTTATTTTAGTATGGCTCACCAAACAAATTGAAAAGACCATGCTAATTCAAATTCAAGGTTCTTAATTTACTCGTATCGAGATTTCTTTCTCTACAAAAATTGCTGACTCGTTTTTGTTTGACACTAAATATGTGCTAGGTCATGCATATCGTTAGTCATTAGTTTTTGTCACGGTTATGGATAAAATAGTCACGTTGAAATATAAGCCGAATGATCAAAATGAAACACGACGAAGTTGGTCGGTAAAATAAATTTACAAGTTAGATGGTATCCAGTGTAGTATTCCGTCTATATTATTACGAGACAAAAATTTGAATAGTCTCGATTTTTACGAATCAATTTGTATTGATAAGTCTACATCTGTATAACTATGTAGTGTCCGTACGAATTGAAGATTTGTGATTGAGAAGATGAACACGTTTACTCTGTTAGATAAGGAGATGGTCCTTATGGGCGACCCCAATTTAATGATCCCAACGACCCAGATTCAATGAAACCTCTACAATTATTATGCATACTCATTCCTCACAATCAATTTTTGTTCAGACAAACTCTTGATTTATGTTGCCATGTATACGTATTGTATAGTATTGAAATAGATAAATGATTATGAACAGGTTAAAAACTTGGTCGGTCCACTTACGGGTGTGCTTGATGAAAATTATTGAAAAAAAATGTATTTTAAATAATTATATGATGAGAGATATGTGGTTAAAAAGTAAAGAGAAGTTATTGATGTGATAAACAATATTATTTTATTGAAAATGTGTTGTTAAAAATGAATTTTAAAATAATGAGGTCAAACAGGGGCTACATCCTTGTTTCATGTAGTTTTGGAACTCTAAGGGGGTGTTCTCTTTGGCGTTTTCCACTCGTTTTCTGTTTTTAATTTTTCAAAATGTTGAAAACGCGTTCTCTTACACGTTTTCGAAAACAAATTTTGGAAAATAAGGAAAAAATTTCTGAAGAAAACACAAAACGGGTCAGCCGTTTTGAACGTTTTCTTCACAAACAGCCCACCAAATGGAAAACACGGAAACAACCCAAAACGCTTCCT